TTGTAACTATTTTTTCCTCTTCCCTTCCCCCATGGCCTTCTGTTTTCTCAACATAAAAAAGACAAACTTCAAAAGAAGAAAAAGCAATTAACCAGCCTTCACTGGTAATTAAAAACTTTTGCTCTGTAAACAATACTTTTTAAAAAAACGAAGACTTTTTTTTTCCTCAGACTTGGAGAATATATTTGTAAAACATGACATGCGACAGATGGTTTTTAACTAGAGTATATAAAGAACTCTTACTGATCAATACAAGGATAAATAACTGAACCAAAACAGGGGGAAAAGATATGAAGGGACACCTCACTGAAAAGGATACAGGAAAAGCACAGGAAAAGATGATCAGCACTATTAATCATCAGGAGAATACAAAGTAAAACCACAATGAAATCACATCACATGCACATTAAAAGAGCTAAAATCAAATTATCACACCAAATACTAGTGACGACGCGGAGCAACCGGGACACTGACAGATGGATGGCAAGAAATAAAATGGCACAGTCACTTTGGAAAATAGTTTGGCAGTGAAATACACATAGGCCCCTGCCATTCCACTCCTAGATATTTACTCAAGAAAAATGAACAATTTGTGCAAAATGTTTTCTAGCAGCTTTATTTCTAATAGCCAAAAACTAAAAAGTCGAATGTCTATCAACAGGTGAACAGATAAATACAGTGGACTACCATTCAGCAATAAAAAAGAAATGAGTGATACACACAGGAATGAGTCCCCCAGTAATTACGATGAGTGAAAGAAGATGTAAAAAAGTATACATATGGCATGATTCCACTTTTGGGTTATTATAGAAAATTCAAACTAATCTACAGTGACAAAGCTGATCAGTGATTGCCTGGGAAGGAGAAGAGTGGCTGAAGGGATTACATAACAGCTTAAGAAAACACCAGGGGAGGGTTCATTATCTTGATGAGAGCGCATGCATGGATGTATACATGTGTCAAATTTTACCAAATTGTAGACTTAATTTTAAAACGTCATTTGCCTTTTTCACTCCTGTACTCCTCTGGGTATACAATGCCGGTTCCCAAGGGTTAAATGACACATGATGATATCATCACTCTTATAGCTAACAGAATGTGTGCTTGTGTATTATTGTAAGGTTTTGTTTTATTTTCCAGGATGACAAATATCTCTACATATGTAAACAGTGATGTGCTAGAGCAGGATTACACCAGCTCAGAAGTGCCCACTGTGCATCTATTTCCAGCTCTGTGTTTAGAGGGGTCATGTTGATAGTCTGTACTTGGCCACAGTGAAAGTATTTATACCAAGGAAATTGGCAAATACTACTGCAACTACTGCAAAATCAGGGCCTTTTTTTTGGGGCGGGGGGACAGCTGGTTGTTAAATGTTTATTAGCCCACCACCAACTGTAACATACATAAAAACAAAGTTCATTGGAATCCTTAATTTTTAATTGTGCAAAAGGCTTCTGAAAACCACTAGGCTAAAACCACTAGCTTGCCTTCATCAAGCTAGAAAGTGTTACTAGGGAGAAAAGCAAAAAGACAAAGATATTTTCAGACACTCACCCCATCAAGAAAATCTTTTACAGAGACTCATACTTCAGTTGCCTTGACCAAATGCCACTGCTGCCATTCTTCCACAGGACTCCCTATTGATACTACCTTTTCTCTAAGACCAGGAGTGTCTGGGGTTGATTCATTGGCTCCTTCTTGAATTTGAAGAGCCCCAAGGCTGCCGGGAAGGGATGGGGCTGCCATCTCTTCTAGCAAACACAAGGGTCCATAACTTTGCTTTCCATAGCTACTCACAGACTAAA